CGAGCCTCAATCTCACCTCTGCACATGTGTCTGTGTCTTTTTCAAGTAGAGCATGATGGGACATGTGGAAAAAAACACAATCCAATGCATATGTTCTCATTGTTGTACAAATGGCAAATAAAGATTCATTTCAAGGGAGTTTTTGTATACGTTGCCAGTGTTACTGGAAGCCACAGCATACAGATGTTCATTTATCATAATTTTAAATTTATCACCTTTGAAAAACTGATTTGACAGTTTTCTGTTTTCATTCATTTCGCACTTTCACAGTGAGGAGCACTATGAGAGAATCTATTCGGAACTGTAAATATTCTATAAAAGTGTGATTGATTAAAGGAAGTGACTTTTTTTGTGAAGTATATCATTATGTACATTTTGTTTTGTAAATTCTATCTCTCGTTCTTTATGTCTCTTTATGTCTAATTTACAATTCAACCTTTTACTGAATATCTCATATTTAACTCCAGTTAGCTACATATCAAGGAGAATGCCGGCGGAACCTTGAAGAATCTTTGATTATACAAACGTGTCCATTAATCTCAACCAAATTAAACTGAAAAAAATAAGTGTCTAAACGATACACTGACTAATTTCTAATGCAGCTATTAATGTGCGACAAAAGTCCCAAGATTTCCCAGTTAAACCAGATTCTCCTTCAGTATCATCGATCGGCCGGCGTGTTTATGAAAATGTCTGCCAGAAATCAGATTACATTTGATCTGCCGGCTCAGAATAACTTACTGCCTTACAGATAGGGGGCAAAATACATAGCTACATATGTCAGTGACTTTGATGAAGGGTTATAGGCTGATGCATACGAAGGGTCCATCAATCTGACTGACGCTCAAGGGCCCCGACACGCTGAGAGGATTTTCGCACCGGCGTGCGTCACTCCAGCTGCCATTAAAAGACCCGGATAATTCAGAATAGAAAAGATGTGGTATGCACAAAAATGGTGTTGTGTGTCGAAATTACATACAGTCGGCGCGATAATTTACAGAATAAAGCAGAGGATGCTGAAATTCATTACACCTATTTTGAAATTGAACCATAAAAATGCATTATACATAATCCAAATTATGATTATATTCATTATTAGGCCATTTGCACAACTGTATTAACTGTTTATCTTACATCCTTGTTTCAATATGTCTTACATATTTATATTCTGTTTATTACTGTTTTTTGCACTACGACCAACGAGATCGTAATTTCATCTCAGCAAATGACCCCCTGGATCATACAGCAGAAGATTAAGATAAAGACACTTTAACTTTCGACTTGATTTGAATACGTGTTTCAGCCCGTTTGCATGAAGCTGGCAGTAAATGCCGGCATACCCCACTAGGTACGCCCCCCCCCCCAAAATGCTTCTCCTGACCCTCAGCTTTTTAAAAAAAATCCCCTACTTTGCTGGGATTTTGAAGTGATTTAAAGTCTTGCACTTTTCCGGCGTAAAAGGTTACGCACTGCAAATGAACGCTTATTTCCGCGAGTCGCCCGATGTGAACAGCGATAAAAGGCCTTTAAAGGGGTTTATTTTGGCGCAATGAATCACCGCCTTTATGTTATCAGTGGCCACTGAGAAGGACCTCCGTGGCCAGGCGAATCTCTCCCCTGTCAGCACTTAGCGCAGCGCAAGGGGCATTCAAACGCTTACGTCCCAGTCATTGCTTTTAACATATCCTGCTTTGAATTATCTCCACGTACGATTTCCACTCTCCGCCAGCGTAATAAAATAATCATCATTCCAGTGGCTCCAGCATGACTACCTCATCGTTCTGTTTACAGCGGGCTGGGGGGCGGGGAGGGGGGGGGGATTGGGGGGGTGGGGAGCTTCCTTTCAGAGAAATTGATGTCTGGATGGGCGGTGTGCTCCACTCACCCTGCGTACGGTTAATAAACGACCCTGTTTTCCCATCATAAAGGAGCCATTTCATACAGAAAGCAAAAAGGCCGTCGATCTTCATGTTTTAAACTGGAGCGGCCCAAGGGCGATAAAAGCCTCTCGGTGGGACTCAAGAACGCAAAACCCAGCTGACTGTGGCATCAGTTAAGGGTGTCTCTGTGGCTGGGAGGACACAGTTTTCATTGCACGGCCTTTGCCCCTATTACAGCGACTAGCGTACAGATAGATAATGGCCAATTACTGCTGCAGCATTTGAATGCAGCTTTCAGTGGGAACCATCCACCTGATTTGGGTGATAGGCGGTCTGACTGTCTAAAGCAGGGGTCTCCAACTCCGGTCCAGTAGGTTAGTAAAGGTATTTACCTGAGAACTAGTGTGGCTCATCAGAAGCTGGGTAGGATAGAAAATGTACTGGACGGTAGCTCTCCAGGACCGGAGTTGCAGACCCCTGGTCTAAAGAGTTCCCTGATCCATGTCGTGTGTTGTGACATTCCCGATACTGGCTTGCCGGTCATGTGATTTAACAGAAACACTGGTAATTTTACCCAAAGTTTTTTTCTTTTTTTTTTTCTTGAAGCGGGGAAAAAGTTGTGAATCAGCAATCTAATTTTGCCCCATTCAGCACTGGGAACATTGACCAGTAACGCTGCGTGCAAGTTCTGTGGGGGGCGAGACAGAAATGCTATCACCGGGTAAATAACGGCCATTAAGCTTCGCCGCGGAAACACTGTGTGGATTTGAAAATGGCTCGGTCTCATCTGGCTGGCTAATCGTGGGTGACGGGGGACGCCGTGTCTCTGGAGGCCTCGAGGGTAAAACCAGCTCCCTCACATCTGTAACCACAAACCTACAGAACAACGGCATTAATCCTCCTGGGAGACTCTGAACTCCCGGCTGCCAAAGCTCCCCCTGCAGGTGCCATTTTTCATTGCATTCTGTGCCTGGTGATTTTAAGGGCTTTTGAAGTTCTAGGTTTTGCCAAAATAACCTATGTACGGAAATGCAGAAGTTGGTCACCCAAGCAGGTCATGTGAGAACTCTAGGATGGGTAAGAATCCATCAGTATCCAGCCTTGATTCTTTCGAAACATTGCGACATGGACGCCAATGATCCACCACCCAGCAATTACGTAACATTATCGGACCACAGTCTTCGCTTTCCACAGTGTCAGAAGAAGCATTCCAATGTAAATTAACTAGTGCAAATGGCAAATAAAAGCATCATTTCATATCTGAAGTTTAGAAGAATTAACACCTGGGATGTATCTCAGTAATTCATTCTGCCACCAGCATTAGACGCCTTTTCTCATTTGGGAATAATGACCCCCCCCTCCCCGCATCACACATGCACAGAGCCCCCCAGCCAGTGGTTTGTCCCGGAAGACGAAGGTGGGAGCTGGGGGGGGGGCAGGTCTTGCTATGCACGTTTGCTTTTGCATGGATATGTGTGCCGGGTTTCTCAGTGGGGGGTGGTGTTTGGGGGAGGGGGGGGAGAGCATTTGCTTGCCCGATGAGGCCCCATTAGGCACGTTTGTGTAACAAAAGGTGGAGCTGCTGAAAACAGTGCAGTCCTTGGGACCTAGAATGGTTCCCGTGATTGTTCATTGGGGGGGGGGGGGGTCTTGACCTGGAGCTTTGTCCATTTTCATCTGAATGGTCTGCTGAGGTGGCCCACAGCCATTAAACCCAATAAAGGCCACTCATTAGGCAGTGGAGGGTCAATGACATTGGCACGGTACTCTTCATCAATATTGATGACACATAGTTTACAATAAACAATGAGGTCCCCCCTCCCCCGGTTGTTAGTTTTGCTTTTGGAAAACTTCTTAGCACACAACACAATTAATCGTAGATCCATCAGTCGTCGACGGATATTCCTGATCTTAAACCCCGCAGTCAGCTGCCTGTTTCTCTTTTGCTGCCCATCACTAAGTATTTATTCATTGAAAAAGGGTCATGCATTTACGTTCAATTTACCAGAACAAACAAACAATGAGAGGAGATGTCAGAAACGTCGGCATCCTGGTTCTGAGTGCTTTGCGTGCCTGTTTAATGTTGGTCAGACGAATCTCGAACAAGGGAGATGTTTCCTGAGACAGAGCAGATGATAACCCTGTACATAAATGAATAGCAGATACAAACAAAACAGTATTTCACCCCGAGGCATCTGTTTAAAATTGCCAGTGCCGGAGTATTTAACTCAGCGCATGGCTGGTTTTACTATTAAGTTCAGAACTAAGCATGAGGTAAGTTAGTCGTAAAATTGTTGAGTCTGCAGCCAGAGGTGGAAAGTTCAGGTCCAGAAAGTACAAATCCAAGATTTTGCTTCAACCAACCAGATGAGTATAAAGAGTCACAGTCACAGAGTCCTCAACTGGTTGGTTGGAAGAAAATCTTTTTTGTACTGGATCTGTACTTTCTGGACCTGAACCTTCCACCTTTGTCTGCAGTTCCACAACATCTGTGCTACCCCTACAAACATCAAGTACAATGTGTTGCTTAAGTTGCAAAGGCGTCTCACAACACATGTGAAAATGAAGGTGAGAACCAGTCACTTATTCCAGGGTAATACAAGTGTGGCCGTCAACTAGGTCTCCAGGAGGCCATTTGTTTATTTAAGGTTCCTCATGGCCCAATGGGTGGCAAATGATTCCAAAAAGACCAGCAGGTCAAATGGCTCTCATTGGATGGCAGAGTGGCTTGGCTCCTCCCATCCACCACCGTCATTGACACCCCACAATTTAAGCTTGGGTCAATTGTTTAGAAGGCTCTGTTGTCCAGGCGTCGGAAATCCTTGTGGGTTTTTCCCTACGCCTGACTTTCTTGGAGGGGCAAGTATCAAGGAGGGATAGCTGACAAGAGCTTGAGCAAAGAAGCCAACAGATGACCAAGGATTTGACAGAAGACTGTTGAGAATCATCTTCTGGGGAGTCTCACACAGACTCTCTTGCAAGACTCATAGTCTCTGACTCAGAGAGAGAAGAGTCAACAAAAATCAGCTTTGGGAGTCTTGTCACGTTGGAGCTTCGCCATCTGTGGCCCCTGAGTATCCTGGATTTGGCGGATCAGTAGTCGTGTTGCCGATGGAGAGTATGGCGGTGCTGCTGGTGCTATTACTCTTCCCGCTGGCGGAGCCACGGCCTGCTCACGGGTTACGGCCCGCGGATCGGCAGCGGGCCATGGGCCGGCAGGGTACCTGCCCGGAATGCCGACCCGAGCGGTGCCTTCCAGGCCTGCGCTGCCCGGCCGGACGGACACGGGACGCCTGTGGCTGCTGCTGGGAGTGCGGCAACGGCGAGGGGCAACTGTGCGACCCAGAGACCGCTTCCAGATCCTTCTACGGCCGCTGCGCAGAGGGCCTGCGTTGCCGCACTCCTCCGCGGGACCCCATCTCCGGGAGGTCTCCCAAGGCCCAGTGCGTGTGCAGTCGGCAGGAGGTGCTGTGTGGATCCGATCAGAGGACCTACGAGAACGTGTGCCAGCTCCGGGCTGCCCAGTACCGGCTGGGTGCCGACGGCAAACTGTCGGTGGCTCACCACGGACCTTGCAAGGCCAGTAAGTCTGTCCCCACTGGTGTGACACTCTTGATTTCACACTCACTGGTAAGGAATCGATCATATTCTCTACACAGTGGCAGGCTGACTGCTTAACTCACATCTATGACTGTAATTTAAGCTACGGTAAGGAAATTACTAAGGAAATACTGTCACTTAATTAATTAATTTGTTACCTTGCTGCAAAGGAGGCTTTGAGGGTGGGGGCAATGGCTGCTACTTTATGGTTTCGGTTTAATTTTCTTAACTCCCTGTAACTCCTCCCCTGGCTGAAAACCCCCCCAGAGTAATGGAGCGACTGACCTCAGCAGTATCCCTTAACGAGATGATTGTTTAAAAGTAACCGTTAATGACGATCTTGCCGTCATCAGCAGAAACTGCCAGGGAGGCATATATGGAAATAATCTGCACAGAACGTGAGCTTGCATAATGCTCAGTGTATCGTTGTGTCTTTTAAAATATCAAGGACTTGCAGCACTTATTTGCAGGGTCAGTACTGCAAAACATCAGCAGTTGTCAGATAGTTGGTGCCCCACCCTGGGTTATTCCCTGCCTTGCACTCATAAGCCCCTGTGATAGGATCCGCACCCCCGCCACCCCGAATAGGACCAGCGGTTCCACAAAAATGGGTGGATGGAGGGATGGATGGATGTCGTCAGATAGGACGTGAACGTTGGTTCTGCTCAGGGGAGGATTCCTGTGGTGTAGGAGGTGTGACCAAACACAAAGCCTTCATCCTCTGCTCACGGGATTGGATGGAAATGAATGGAAATGCTGCGTAAATATAAAGCCTCCAAGCTGAGCCATGGGAGACTGTAAAGTAACGTCCCTCCCTGCCGGTTGTTATGGTAGGAATGGCTGTTTGATTCTGGCTATTGGTGGTATCGCCATTCCTGTGGACTGGAATGTTTGGAACCCATATATTAATTTACTTAAAAATAGCTGTCAGTTTTTAGTTAGCTGTTTAACTAAGTACGGTACGGTGGAATCGGTAATGTTTTCTGCATGTTGATTTTTTATTTTTATTACAAATTAAGACACAGTCAGGGCTGGACTGGGATTAAATACGGGCCCTGGACTTTGCTGACCCACAGACCCTTTGACTCGCCATGAAAACTCCAGATGAGCAGCCCAGGATGGATACACTGTATATTTACCCGGAGCTCTGTTTTAATATACTCTGTTTATTTCACATACAGTATGTTGAACAATTGATTTGTATAAGTTGTGTTTGCAATAATACAGTCCCTGGATCCTGATCACAAAGGTACTAGAATCATTTTGCATTAATCAATGAAAGGAGAATGTTTGTTGTTTTTTTTTCCAGAGCCAGTTATTGTCAGTCCACCTCGTGATGTCATCGATATGGAAGGAAGTGACATCATCTTCAGCTGTGAGGTCTTATCTTACCCAATGGCTGTGGTTGAATGGAGGAAGGAGCGGAACAGCGTCTTCCTGCCTGCCGATGACTCCAACATGGTGGTGCAGGTATAATATTCTCCGTTTCCTAATAAGTTATGTTCATAAACTTTTAATTGACAGTCTCAATGTGAAACAGTGTTTGTTTCTATCCGTAAGATAAGTGACAGTCCGAGGACGTAGAGGGTTTCATTACAACATCTCTGTGTATGTAGCGCTGGAAGGTTCGACGTTTCGCTTGCAAGTTACCCTCTGCAGCGCAAAAGCATACAGTTAGGCGAAGTGGTGTCCCTGAAATATCTCACAGGCCTCCGATGGACTGGGCGTCTCGCAGCCTCATGCCCTCTGTCGCCCGGGAGACACTCCCAGCAGCCCCCTCCAGGATAAGTGCTTGAAAGATTGACGGATGAGAATATTTCTATATTACTAGTTCAGCCCCAAGTTTCAATAGGTAATTTTTCACCTGGCAAAAGGGAAACTTTCCCAAAAAAAGAATTGAATGAACTGTTTTTTAGTGTGTTTGGAGGGAACTAGAGAGTCACATTTAGACACACTTTTAATGACTACTGCAGTCACACATGTGTCACATGACCCTTCCCAGCATCCTCCATTCAGACACAACAGTCTGTAACCCAACTCAGAAATGAGGCATTAGCTAAAAGCAGCTCTACAATCCCATCTCTTGCCCAAACACCAGGCTCACGGAGGCCCCCGCCGCTTCGAACTGACCGGCTGGCTCCAGATCCAGACCATCCGGCGGGCGGACCAGGGGGTGTACACCTGCACCGCCAGGAGTCCATTCGGGGAGGTGTCCGCCTCCGCCCGACTGCAGGTTCTGGACAGAGGTGCGTCCACCGGGCCTAATGGCAGGAAGTGGCTCCTTGTGCAATTCAGGGAGTCTATAAGTGAAGGTCAGGGGCCGGCAGGGCGCCGCCCCTCCCTCGGCAAACAGACCGCCTGCCCGGTTAATGGAGATCTTCTTCAGAACCTCCCCAGAGGGCTGGATTTTTAACATACACGTGGCAATTAGCAAAACGGCTAAAGGCTGCTGCTTTGTAGTTGCCTCAAAGTAAAAGTGAAATAAAACCTCTAAATTAACCATAACAGTGGAGAAAACAGCAACCAGTTCACCTGGTTCAGGTGCATCTCCGCCTGTACATCATCTACTCCAGCAAACACTGGGCTCGCACACAGACACCGGTGATATATCTGCTTTTCTCCACCGTCGCTCTTCCTCACACTAAAGCTTTTCCGTAAAAGGGCTTTTGGACGTAAGTGCCCACAACTGCGCTTTTCCATCAACTGATGGAGGCAGTCGGTATCAACAAATACATTAACCGTAGCCTCCGATAGTCTAAGATGCGGAGAGACGAAATTCGTATCAACGGCGAATGCCAATCGATCCCTTTATCGCGCCATATCATCTGAACTCGAGCAGAGGTGAACTTGGCATTCCGAGAAATTTCACGGCGATAACCTTACTCTGCCTTGGGCCCCTTTTTTTCTGGATTGGAAAGGTGCATTAGTGTTGACAGACAGTCACGAGAGATGGAGGATGATGGTAGATCAGACAGGCAGGGCTGGGTGTGTGTATTATGTGGCAGGCAGAATCATGGATGTCTTCTGTCGATCCCCGCTATCTCGTCCTCTGGGGCTTCCCGCTTCTCCCAATTATTGGACGGATAGGATTTTTCTCGTTGGTTTTCCCGGAATTGGCACTATTAGTTGTCCGTCGGGCTGGGGGACATGAAAGGCGACTCTATGCAGACAGTGGGGCCTTTTGGCTTCATTTTATCCTCAGTTGTAGCAGAGGGATGTGGTGGAAGACAGTTTAATTTTTCTATTTATTTTTTTCCAGTTATATGTGTTTGCGTTCAGGAAATGGGAGCGAATCAGAAAGAGTGGGAATGTGTCCATTTCGGAAGCACTTTTAGGTGCACTTAGTGCAAATAGCCATTGATTTGTTTAAGCAGAACAGTCGCGATGGGCTTACACCCCAAACATTATTTAGCCGTTTATAAGACAGTCCATAGCTTCTTGTTCTCGTTCCTGCTGTCTTACTGCTGAATTGCCGTTATTTCTGTACTTTGTTCCATGTTACCGCTGTTACAGTCGTGTTTTACAGAGTCTTATTAATGAAGTGGCTCAGTGGCCGGTTCTGTACCTTTAACCCAGCGAGGTTTGAGTCCCGCCTGCATGAATCATTTTTGGGACCTTAAACATCCATGTCGTGTGCCCTGTGCTTCCCACGATAGGCCGAGTTCTGTTACGGAAAATGGACGGATACTTATATAAAACTGTGTAGCCAACATTTCTTAAGAATGTGAAGGTATGAATTTGAATAATTCCTGAATGTTGTGAATACCACCTAAATTAGGTGGTCATTAATAATTAGGAGAGTCACTCATAGCGAAACACGCTTCGTTTGGGAACGACCTCTTGACGGTATCGCAGTGATGTCTGAACGTGCTCTGCATAAACATACAGCTCGCATAGTAGCCTACTAACCCATCTGTCTAAACTCACCCATAGTTTGTATCCATTAATTTGGCTGTTTTACTGGAGAATGTGAGGTTAAATACTATTCACAAAATCATTAGCACCTCGAATTAGCAGCCGCAGTCTACATGTCGTTGTCCTTAAATACTTCACCTCCTGCGTCACAGTTTGGCACGGAGAGTGACGCAGATTGTGCATCGGCGGTGCTTTTTCGCTGTATTAATGCTGTGGGTCGATATCGCAGGTTCTCCGCTGGAGCAGCAGCAGCACAATCCCGGAAGTCGTGGCCTCTCGGACGATGAAGACGATGAAGACTATGGGGGCGAGGCAAGCGGATATGCATACTAAAAATGCAAAACAGAAAGACTCTGATCCCTGTTTTTAGGTAAAGATTTCAAAAGCAGCTGAATACAATGTAATTTCGGCATTTCGCTTCATTCCAAGTGACAGATCTTTCTCTTATGTATTATTTCATTTATAGGAAAGAGGAGAAATGTAAATAGATATATCTGTATTTGCTCATTTGTTCATTGTGGCTGGCTGAGGTCCTTTCTTACTTAAAATTGATATCAAACCATCCAGCAGTTTTCTGGAGATTCAGTAGAACATTCCCTATGAATCAGTGTTTCTCAACCCGGGCCTCAGGTACCCCAGACAGTCCACATTTTTGCTCCATCCCAGCTCCCTCCCAGACAGTCCATATTTTTGCTCCATCCCAGCTCCTTGCCAGACAGTCCATATTTTTGCTCCATCCCAGCTCCCTCCCAGACAGTGCATATTTTTGCTCCATCCCAGCTCCTTGCCAGACAGTCCACATTTTTGCTCCCTCCCAGAGAGTCCACATTTTTGCTCCTTCCCAGGAGCTGGGAGCTGTCTGTGGGTCCCCGAGGACTGGGTTGAGAAACGTTATTATAAATGACCCAGCAAGAATCACCTCCACATGTAAAAGAAAAGCATCAACAAAGAACAGCATGTATTTTATGTTGGTCTGGTCCTTACCACTGTACCTTATCACCTGTAAGTACAGCTCCAAGTATTAGTGAATACTGCAATAATCACTACAGACCGTTAGTATACCTGTTGTAGAATACATATTAATAAACGATCAGAATATCATAGAGAATATAATCCCACCAGAAAGCAATGGAGCACACAAACAGGTAAATGTAATTACATTCAGTTTTAATATAGAAGCTGTGGTGGTTCCAACATTCCAGCAGCAGCCGCCATCCTGGGATTTTCTTGCACTTGATTGCCTAGAGCCGGAGTCTCCAACTCCGGTCCTGGAGAGCCACTATCCAGTAGGCTTTAAATTCTACCTGGCTACCTCTTCAGAAGTCAGGTAAGATAGAAAACCTGGTGGACGGTAGTTCTCCAGGACCGGAGTTGGAGTTTATAGAGGACCATGTGATAAATGAAAAAAGATACGCAATGGCAGTCATGAAGGCGGAGAACTGTTAATGAGAGCAGGCAGAGGGGAATGGCCAGACTAGTCAGAGTCAACAGGAAGGCTTCAAGTGCAAAAAATGTCATGGAACAAACTTTACTGCAAGTTGGAAGATTCCTGTATTTGAAGAATTCAGGCATTCCCATAGACGCCCGAGGGTCCTACTCAGAACTAGGCAGAAGTAGCTGTTGGGTGCAAATATCGGAATCAGACTTTTAAGATTTAAAACAATTTCATTCCCAATATTTTTTTAAGAAACTTAATATATTTGAGAATATTTCTTAAAAAAATAAAACATTTCCTATATTTACAACAAAGTCACTCAAGAAGAAAAATAGAATCCTGGTCTTAATGAAGTCTATGGTATAGGATCGCAAGCATTCTGAAAGTTCTCCATTGGCCCCCATTAACCCTAAATGACAGAGGATGGCCCGGAAAGTTCTCTGTGTTCCTGGTATATCTGCAATTAGCCTCTCATGTCCTAAAGGCTGGGGCACCGCGTCGTCCTTAAAGATCGGCCCCCGGCCGCGAGAATAAAAAGCACACAGGTTAAGCTGTTTGAAAGCCCCGGGATTAAGAGGTATTTTACACTTTAGAATTTGGTTTTGCAGGGGTTTGTGTTTCTTCTTATTGATTGATGCTCCACTATCGATGCATAATAGAAAAGCACTCAAAGCAAATGCAGGGTTATGGCCTTGCCGGGAGAGACGGGAGACGAGAGAGCAGCACACCGGCATTATTGGCCCATAAAAGATCCCCTGGGACGCGGATGCCGTTTGGATCAGCGCACACCAAATACCCAATTAAAAAAGACTTTAAATCTCTCCTCTTTCCGAGGTAGAAATCAATCAGAATTCAATCTATTTAGCTAGGATTCCAACAGAGAAGGAAATTGTTCATAATCAGTCAGAAAGGTGACAACTGCTTAAAGGGCAGACACCAATACAATCAGGTGTTTCCTTTCAGGTCCTCTTGGCGCTGGGTACCCAAGAAGCAAACCTGCAATTTGTCTAGCGCCGGCAGAGCTGCACGTGTGGCGTCGCACGGTGTGGTGTCGCCTTGCTCTCTGTCAAGCATTAATCGGCCCCCTAATGTATTCTGCTGGCCGAAGGTTTGCTGAGGAATCAAGACAAAACTCTTCAGGTAAAGCAGCACGACCCCGACTTCAGGAAACAGCAGGGAAGGAGCTGGAGCCTGGGGCCGGCTGTGAAGTGCGGCTCAACTTAAAAGAGCTGGGATTTTGTTAACACCAAGCTGCTGCAAAAATTGCCCAGTAACAAGATGATTCATTTTTCACAATGGTGTAACTCAATATTAGCGCGAGTGGCCCTGCTCCATGGCCGTGTCGCACTGAATAAACTCGTCCCCTGTTACTCTTTCCCGTCTCACCAAATCGCCTTAATGGCTCTTTTCCGAGGGGAACGCCACGGCTCCAGCGGACCCCACTGGAGAGCAGGAATGGGAGCCGGTTTGTCCCGGCCGGTAACATTATGTTCGGGGGTCACATGGGGTCAAGGGTCACCCAAAGAAGACCTCGATTAATGGATGTCTCAATATGTAGAGTCGTATTACCGACTCTGCTGTTCGACCTGGCGGGGAGGAAGGTGAACATTTCTTATTTGATGAGAGGCAAATGGTACTTTATTTTATAATGACTGAAAGGAGATATATAAAGAAAAGAAATCTATACACATTTATGTGAACTTGTAACCAGCAGAAACCATTGAGTTTCAGAAACCTTGCAACTATGAAACTGGGCATGATGAATATGTTTATGAATGTGGAACTATTAAATGGGTGTTTTTCCTTGTAAAATTCACTGCAAAGAAACTTTGCAAGTTTGTTAATATGATCAAAAGCAACAAACACATTCACATAAATATTAACTTGGTAAATAATAATTTTATAATAATTTCCCTTCTAGAAAATGCAAAAACTGAATGACTTCAGAGATAATTACTATTACTATTGAAAAAGCTCCATGCATATTGTCTTTAAAGATAAATTAAATGCCATTATTGGATTGAGATATGCATTGTGATGGACTGTGCAACGTGAGCTTGATCCTGAAAGTCTAACATGTGAAATCAAAACTCACTTATTCAATAGCAATACTAGCCATGAATGATATCAGTTTTAAAGGAGGGGAGGACATCTGCGGAAGCCTTTTAATGCTTAATAGTCAATACATGCTAAATGTACACTTGAGAAATCAATGCAGATGTATTGACTGTTTATGCGCTATAAGTGACTCCTGCTTCAGGGAGATTTACTTATAAAGCACCTTCTTTTTGTGCACTAAGTGAGTTTCGTTTTTCTTTTTAATGAGTGTCAGTATTTGATGGTACCGGGATCAAGTTGGGTGACAAGTATCATTAAAATGTGTATAGAAATGTACCCATCGTGGTATAAAGTAATATCAGAGAGACAGGAGCAGGAAAATTGTACAATGACAGAAGAAACACCACATTACGGTATCTTATGTGGAGTCTTTATTTGATTGTACAACATTTGGTTACGAAGACAAACGAAATAGCGAAAGGCTTTTCCTTCTTGTATTTACAAGCTCTGGGCACCAGGGGGCAGAGGTTACACTTTTATTCCCCACCATTTCCATGGACCCTGTCTCGCTGGCATTTAGATTATGGATCTCGGCTCTTCTCATTAAGATGACAGTAGCTGAAAAATGTCTCTGTCTACCTTGGTCACAAAGCAATAAAGAAACCATATTCTTCCACGCGGTTGTTAATTATGTGAGCTAGGGCAAAAGAGTTTTTTTTAATTGATAAATGACCAGTTTAGAGAAAATAAAAGGTTGTGGCTGTCTTGCCAGACATGAGCCCAAATTATTTATTTTTGAAGAAGATTTGTCTTCTTCTGTGTGAAGCTGTCTCCACTACTTGCTTAAGAAATAAAGTTGTTAATCACAAATCCCCGACAAATTACCATTTTAATCACCCATCCATACATGTCTGGAGTTTATGAACTAAGGAAGTAGCTGTCTGACAGATTAAAAGGCATTAAGATTAAATTTGATAATTATCCAGTAATCGTACAGCCAGTCATTAGCTGCAAATGCAAGTCTCTGTTTCTCGTTCAGTCTCCTGTTTGCAAAATGCGGTCATTGATGCATTGTATAAACAATGTCCTGTTTCATCCAAACTATGAATTCAAGATCCTCTTCATTCATGAATATGTTGGAATAGTGTGGGAAAATAACCTTAATGTAACTTAACTTACAGTTATGGTGTCAGACTTCATTTCTATAACTTATTACTATAAGCGCAATACCCTTTTTTTTTAATGGAAATGTTTCATTTCCGTAGTTTTACATTAACCGGGCTTGTTGGTAGATTTTTTTTCATATATTAATAAAAAGAAAATACTTTGATATCTGAAAACTGTTTATCTTCACAACTGAGAACGTAAATCAACTTCACCAACAGAGCAATTCCCTGTTGCTTTCCCGACATTTGGTAATTTGATTCCTTCAAAACATACAAAGCTAGTTATTTTAAAAATATTGATGCTGGTGAAAGGAAAGCACGCACAAAAAGATTATATATTTTCTGCCGAAAAGATAAATCAAGATCTAGACGTTGTTTACAATTCCTGCACATTTCACAATGTTATGAAAAAATGCTAGATAGAATAACGGTCTTGGGAAAACGGGAAGATGTGGGTCAATGTGAGATGACAAAAATATAAAGCAATGCAGAGATACTCCGGGTTGCATGCTGGTAGCGTCCAGAGGCGGACAGTCTGTTTGCGGACGCTGAGCCGGAGCATCAACACGGCGGCCCGGCCGAGGCGGCTCGGCTTTCACACCAACAACCGGGCGCCTATTATACGTTTTTTTCATACTCCACCCGCACTTGCAGTCCCTGTTTAACGGTGTTAC